TTAAAATCGGGCGCAAGAATAATGCGTTATTTAGGTTATGTTACTTATGCTTTTTTATGATATGAATCCACTTTTCTCTTTGTAGTAATTTGTGCTTCGAAGTTGGAAACGAATAAAACTTAAATTGACAATTTTTTGTTGTATTTTTACAATTTATAACACAGCATTTCCTAAATCCCATTTTCTTCAGTGACAGAAGGTGTAAATAAACAAACGAATATGAAATAATTGAAATATGACAATTGACAATATGCATTTATGAAATCTATGAAATTTGCAGTATAAAATGCAAGATTTCTCCGCTACTCGCGCACGATCGTTTCTCGTATCACATCCAAGTACTTGCACGTCGCCAATAGAACAAAAGTAGAAGAGGAAATAAAAATGTGCTGCTACACCGGAGTGATCTTGGGAAGGACATGTTTCCAGACAAGATGATACCACTTGGACTAAACATATCATACAGAGGAGAACTAGCTTAAATAAGAGAGGGTCCAAGTCTAAAAGGATATAATAATTCGTATTGTGGTAGATCCACAATAGACAACATTTTTTGCATAACCAAACAAAAACAATAAAAAAAAAGAGAATAATCAATAGCAACTTTAAACTCTGCGGACATATTTGTAGATTACCATAAAACAAGAAACAGAAACAATTGTCAAAATACAAAGTCTGGCAATTAAGTTTCGAGATAATTTTTTTACGCCTGTATAAAGAGAATAATGAAAGAGGCGTGGTTTAGATCTACATACATCACTTGACGTTCGGTAAAAGTTTCAAGGAGCTGTAACAAACAGTGTCAAAGTGTCAAATAACGAAGGTGAAAAATTGCTCGCACAGAAAAAATGTTGAATAAAAAAATTGAGCAGATTGAATTTAAGTTTTTGTTAAAACTCGATAACTCCGAGTTGGATAATTATGAAATTTTGCGGAAGGTTTATTAGGACCATCGCCGAACATGGCAACATTAATAAAGCTACTTTGAGATAAATTTTGCATGAGGAATAAACATGAGAAAAGCATATGCTAAGCTTGTGACCAGGCTCCTAATGATGGAACAGACTATGCATCCTAAAGACACCTGGAATTTATTCAAAAGGACTTCCAGACTTTTTGTCAAGAGTCATAAATTATGACGAAATTTTAATTTTTTAATATGACCTGAAATCAAGTGAAAATCCATGTTGTGGTAGCCTTTAAACTCTCCAAGAATCAAAAAAGTGAGGATGAGGCAAGCATATAAGTTTTACAAAGACTCAGAGAACTCCTGGATCGTAATCATGACAATGCACTGGCTCACAACTCGCACTCTATCAAGTCTGTATTATATTTGGCCAAAAACAGGCCACAGTCATGGAGCACCCGATATATTCGCCAGATTTAGCACCCTGTAACTTCTATTTGTTTCCAAAAATTAAATTCCATTTGAAAAGAACCTGCCATGTATAGCTGGCCATTATAGAATGTAAAACAAAAATTGGCACGGCTTCTTAACAGCCTGTTGAAAAATTACCACAGTACTGCTTCTTCTTCTTCGCGTTCCATATCAGAATTATCCGACGTTGGCGATCAGGCTTCTCAATCTTCTGCAATATGGCATTTGACATCCGAGTCCATTCACGAATGTTCCTCAACCAAGAAACCCGTTTCATTCCTACACCTCCACGGTCCTCTATTTTGCGCCTTTAAGGATTAGTTGTAATATTTTATATTGACTTCCCCTTACTATATGTCCCAGATAAGACATTTTTCGATGTTTAACAGTCTTTAGCAGTTCTCTATCATTGTTGACGCTCTTTAGTACTTCTTCATTAGTTTTCCTTGTTGTCCAAGGTATCTTCAGCATTTGTCTATGAACCCACATTTCCAATGCTTCGATTTTGTTCATGATCGATACGTTTAGCGTCCACACTTCTGCACTATACAAAAGTATGGACCAAACATAACACCATTCTTTGTCTTAGTTCTAAACTGAGATGATTATTGCAAAGAAATGACTTCATTTTCATAAAAGTAGTTTTAGTCATTGCTATTTTTGAGTTTTACTACTATTAGTACCGCTTCGTACAGTTGAAAGATCACATGGAACAGTGTATGGAAGCAGGAGTGTATATTGAAAGGGAAAAATGAAAGATTGATATCTAAGAATTTTAGGAAATTTTACTATAACTGGTAAATAAAAGTGATCAATTGTATTGATCTAACGAGAATTGTAAAAAATGACAAAAATCGGGATACGTTAATCTATTTCACAGCTTTATAAAAACTGAGTTTATTCTCGGCAAAATACAAAAACTGCATATGAAAGCTGCACTCTTTACCTTTCAAACGCATCTTGATTTTTGCTGATAGGACATTTGGATCTAAAGATACCGAATTTTTACAGTCCCACTAATACAAATTTTATTGAACATTGATTTCATGCGCGAAACTGGCATGCAAAATCGAGTGTCTCTTCAAGCATTGTTTCTAAAGAGAATGGCTCATTCTACAAGAAAATTTCTTATAAACATTTTCATTTAAAATTATCTCAGCTACATATTTTATTTAAAACATTTTTTTCTGGTGTGGTGTACTCTTGATAAATCGTTTTTTTGGGTTTCTACCCCACCTGCACTGCTGGTAAAAGTGATAAACTTCTTTGCTTTTTTTAGGGGTCACAAAATTAATATTCTCTGCAAAATTCAGCTTGTTCATATGATTTTTAGGGGTCAACTCTCTGACGACTGGCCAATAACTAGAGAAATGAATATCTCTTTCTAATCAAACAACAGAAATACAAAAATAATGATAATGTTTAAAGATCCTGATATATCCTTATATCTATCTAATTTTTCAAATCAAAAGAGTTCAAAACATAATTTTTAAAACTGAAGATGATAAATTTCTAATTTTTCACCTTAACATCTTGGGTCGAGTAAAAAGATAATTTTATTTGACTTATCTTTTGTTTATATTTAATTGTGATAACAAATTCTCACAACAAAAAATAAAAATTTAATCTTCGGATTTGTAAATCTGTTATACTCAAAATTACTGGTTTAAATCAATTTAAGAAATCCTTGGAAGGCAACAAATTTTGGCTTGATATTTACATTAAAGCGTATCAGGTCAGTGATATCTTATCAGTTATATTAAGAGTCAAAACTTGAAATGAACATGAAGTTGAACTGTAAATATTCAACATTTATTTGCCATGGGATTTACAATAATTTATAAACGGAAAACGGGATGTTTATGCTTTAAAAAGTCTAATACGATATTAAGAAATATAAAAGATATACAAAAAAAAAACCATAAAATAATGAAACCTATTTGTTCAAGAACTGCTTACAGATGAATTATTGCATGCATAAAGTTTAACAAAAGTGAGCAGAAGAGATTGGGGAAATACAGAAGAATAAGGCTACTACAAAATAAAATTGAAGAAACAAGAAGGAATTGACCACATCAATATGCATATAAATAAATTTAAAAATTAATTTTATATCAACTTAAAAAACCCCAAAGAGTTAATTAAATGTGAATTGATAGATAAAAAGATCTTCAAATAGGCCTAAATTAGTAACAAATAGCTCAGGAATAGGTCTCTATCAGAGGTAGTGGAATTTCTGTATAGGAATATTAGCACATTTGTTGTTATTTTTTTTTAATAACAAATCAACACTCCTGTGAGTTTTCTTAAACACTTCAATGGGTGCTATCACATGGTTAGATGCAATATAGTTTCAATAAATTAGATTAACATAAAAATATAAATACCATCATGACATTTTTCTCTTTGTGGGTACCTTGTAGCTTTATTATGATTTAAGAAAGGTTTGTTTTAGGAATGATTTGACTTTTTCTAAGATATGATTCAATAGTTTACAACATTTGGGGTTGTTGATGTATGGAGTAGTGGCTAATTCGTATTGTTTGACTTTTCAGAATGTTTTGGGAACTTTTATTTAGCAAACTTGTGACAATCACCCTATCTCAGAAAACTAATCTACCTTTGTCCTTAATCTAACTAAAATATATATTTTTTGATAATATTGTTCTGCAAGATTTTTCATGGAATATCAGTATTTTATTAATTATATATCTAGAAACACACCTTAAATTCAAATTAAATTCTTTACTTGACAGTGATGATCAAAATACAATGTTATATACTGAATATGTCAGAATATGCCAGATCGAACACTACTGTCATGGCCTGGAAACCCAGGGGAATGGTTTAACAGATCCTCTGCATCCATTTTTTGAGCTGCTGTCAGCAAAATTAGTATACGGAATTTGATAGCCAACACATGATAACGGAAAAAGGCAAGAGGAAGAATATATATTACAGAAAAATGAAAAATTAGTATTAGCTATCACAAAAAAGAAGATATATGTCTACTGGAACAAAATTTGACTGTGTAGCACATGGTACACTTTTCATTTCAAGCCAGATTAAGATTTCTCTGGACATACATTAATCACTATACAGTATTGGGACTATAATTAAATTATATAAAAATCTCAACATAAAACATTAGCAAAAAATTGCTTATGTTGGGAAATTTAACAATAAAAAAGGTCCTCAGGTGTCATAACCAGAGCTCAGTTTTCTGAGTAATCAATGCAAAACCAAAATAAAGTTTGATTGTGAGGAAATTTTGTTAGCAAGTATAACATGAAAGATGTAGATAATTACATTGTACATTTTAAGCAGATATATTGGCAGTGTTAGGAAAATTGTATTACTTACAATATTTATAGATATAAAAGTATATATTATGCATATTATTTAAATGAATTATTACATTTTAATGCAGGTATTTATAAAACATTTCTTCACAACTCAACCAAATATAAAAAGTATTATTGATTTCAAGTAATAAGTCTTGTTAAATAGGTTACTGGTAAATTTTATATTCAGCTATTAATAATTCATTCAATAGAACACAATTATAAAAACAAACAAAATAATCATAAATGAATGTCTTTGAAAAAATTAAATGACTTACCTAACAAAAGCAAAATAAATTAGTGCCGCAATTGATATTAGTAGAAGGGTAATTGTATGTGGATTATAGAAGAACTGTAAAGAAATATCATCAACTGCCTTTTCATTGATAGTACTAAAACTATCAGCCCTTATCCGTTGTATTGCTTTTGACTGATGTGTCTTCATGTTTTCTTTTGAAGAAATTAATTTTGACTTTTACTATTTATATAACAAGATAACGTGTTAGTTTATTTTAAATTTAGGTACATGTGACATTGCGACATTAAACGTAACGACCTGTAACTTGACTACCACAACACTAATTACTCATTATACTACCGTACCAGTTTGATTTTGTACTCAGTATATCAGTAGTGACAGTAGTCATAGTGTAGTCAACAGTCAAACGTGATTAAAAATAAATTATGTTGACATTTGACATGCGGTTTTTATTAACACCATTGTCAAAAAGTTAGGCATATTTTGTGACCTGAAAAATATCTAATTTTGATAATCTTTAATTGCAAATATCAAGTTAAAACTTAATTTTAATAAAATATTAGGATGCGTATTGCAATCCTGCAATATTATAAACGTGTAATATGTTTTCTAATATAATAATGAATACAAGTTAAATTACTGTGCATACCTTAATGGATTTTACGAGCTTATGAAATATATTTTGAAACGTAGCCTTTTAATAATCTATTAAAATTGTTTAAATATTAGCTTAAACATTTAAGCAAATGTTATGGTTGTTGGGATATTTTTATAACTAAAATTAAAAATTTCGTAGAAAAATTTTTTTCGATTCCATTAAATATTTTAGTCTACAAAGAATCTGTATTTTTTATACATACAATGATCCAGAAATGTTTCAAATTTACAAAACAGGTTAATTCTGGGTAAACGCTACATTAATTTAAGTCTGATCTATATTTTTGCCATGTTATAATTAAAGTATATTATAATAATTTATTATATATAATAAAATATTGAATAATTATATTATATTGTTATTTATTCATTATAATTCTATATATTTTCATATATTTATTTATATATTTTTGTTCTTTGACAAGTATTTAAAAAAATATAATTCTGGAACAGTTGGCCAAATTGAAAATTAAAAAATTAATCTGTCAAGGTGTCAAGTGCCAAACTGTCAAATAACATGATTCTCGGATTTTTGCATTGTCAAGAAGTTTACCGATTTTCCGATTTCACTGTTTCTGAAAATAAAAAATTGTTAATAAGGTCCGTAGTGCAAAAAACTACTTAAAATGACGGTTATTAACAAGGTAAGTGTTTTAAACATTAATAGATATAATAGTTTTATAGTCTTTTGTTATTTGTAAATGTCATCATATTTCTATAACGTTTACAAAATATTTTGGTAAAAATGGGACAGGCTGCATTTTTTAAAAAAATTGTCCCCAAAATTAAAACAAAACATAAAATTGGTAATCACTCGTCGGAAATGTCTGATTTCGAGTTTTCTTCTACTACAGAGTCCGAACAATCCATGGAATACCCCAATGAAAAAGTTGCTATTTGAATTGTTGAAATTAAAATCTATAATTTTATTTGTTTTAGATGGAGGTAGACGGAGGTCCGAAGGGAGAAGGTTTTCGGTCGTATTATATTACAAAGATTGAAGAACTGCAGCTTATAGTGGCAGAAAAGAGTCAAAATCTTAGACGTTTGCAAGCTCAAAGAAATGAACTCAATGCTAAAGGTAAATAGTGAATATTATTAAACATATATGAACATAATGACATTTTAGGATATTATGTCTCTAATAATTTACTCATAATAATTCACTATACTCTTAATTTTAGTTCGCATGTTAAGAGAAGAACTTATGTTACTTCAAGAACAAGGTAGTTATGTTGGAGAAGTTGTAAAGCCCATGGATAAGAAAAAAGTCCTTGTGAAAGTTCATCCAGAAGGAAAATTTGTAGTTGACATTGACAAAAACATAGACATAAATGATGTTACTCCAAATTGTAGAGTGGCCCTCAGAAATGAATCTTACACATTGCACAAAATACTTCCAAATAAGGTATTTCATATTGCTTTTATTGCTGATTTTAGCATCTTTTAATAATCAGTGTGGTGTCCTATACAGGTAGCAGCCAAAGTTGTGTATTTTCTTACTTACAAGTTAACAGAAACATTTATTTCTGATCTAGAACAGAAAAATTTCAGAACTTTAATGTATTAAGTACCCAGTACTCTTCACTACTGCATTTATGATTACTACTACTGTAGTAATCATTATTCCATTTATGTATTATTTTAATATTACAAACTCTGTGATATCTTCATTTTGTACTGTATACCAGTGTTTTATTGATGATGTATTATCTTGTAGTTTATAAAAAATCAATTTTAGGTTGATCCTTTAGTTTCCTTGATGATGGTGGAGAAAGTCCCTGATTCAACTTATGAAATGGTAGGAGGACTTGACAAGCAAATTAAAGAAATCAAAGAAGTAATTGAACTTCCAGTTAAACATCCAGAACTGTTTGATGCACTTGGTATTGCACAACCTAAGGGTGTGTTGTTATATGGACCACCAGGTAAATATCAATTAAACCATTATATACTAATTCTCATTAAAAAGAAGTCAACTAAAATTTTTGACATTTTTTAATTTTTACGAACCCTACATGAAATTAATTGTCATTAGATGTTTGTGTAATGTTTAAGAATATGTTCTAAAGCAGTATGCAACCATTGCTTAAGTAAAACACATAAAAAAAACTTCCAAAATGATGATTTTAATGGAGAATTTAAAAAATTAACATTTGTTTCACTTTAATTAACTTTTGTTAACATTAATGTTAACAAATTAACATTAACAATGGGAGCTTATCGTCTATGGCTTGCCTAGTTCAGTATTTCAAGTATGAGTGTGTCTTGTCTTAAAGTAGGAATCAAACCTGAACCCTTAGCCAATAGCAAATAAAACAATTTTTAACTCATCATATTTATTAAAAAAAAAAAACAATCAACTCTGCCAATGCTTAACAATGAATTAGTGAGGATGATACTTATGGCATCAATGGGCAGCTTGTGTGTCCTCCTAATAAAATTGTCAATAATTATATGTACCTGAAAAATAACTGGCAAATAGATTGACTATTTTATCACAATTCTGAGCTATTACATCCCCACCTTTATTAGACATTATATTAGGATAAGCATTAGACCCACATGTAGCACTAACATACCTATAAAAAGAGTGAGGATTACTTGAAAGATTTGCTTGAATATTCTCTAAATAGTTCTTACAAAATACTGCTTGTAATGATTTACATCTTTCCCTTCACACCGAAAATTCCTAATATAAGTTGCCTGATGCTTTAAAACTCCTGTGAGCTATTTTTTTCTGTATGACAAGCTCAATTAATTCTCTCGAAAGTTTAATGATTTAAATCGTTTGATAGAAACAAGCATATTGATGGCATCATATAAAATATGGTAAAAATTTTCTATGCAGCAATTATTATCTGATTCATATAATACATTGTTCTAAGGAATTGAGGCTAAATATTCATTTAAAACTTGATAATTACATTTTTTTAAATCATAATACAAGACATATTTAAGAAACAAATTTAAATTGGCTGCATGTAATAATATAGTATAAGCTAAATGATGTTGAGAAGAACTGCATCCCTCTGAGTACAGAAAACTAGATCTAAAAATTTGTTATTAAGGTTAGGCAAAGCATTTACTTGTGACATATTTTGAAAATTGTAGCAACTACAAATAATAATTTGATATAATTTGATACAAATATTTAATTTGAAAATTGTATTTTGAAAACAGCTTATGATGTGAAATTCAAAACATCAAATTAAGAGTTTATTTTAGAACTTTTAGTTTATTTCCATAAAGTTATTTGAAAAAGTATGATATGTGGGTATATTTTTATTTGGAATAAATATTTTAAGGTACTGGAAAAACTCTTCTGGCCCGTGCTGTAGCTCATCATACAGAATGTACATTTATTAGAGTATCTGGTTCAGAATTGGTACAGAAATTCATAGGAGAAGGATCCCGTATGGTAAGAGAACTATTCGTAATGGCCAGAGAACATGCTCCTTCAATTATTTTCATGGATGAAATTGATTCCATTGGATCTTCCCGTATTGAATCAGGTATTTATATTGTATATACCTATTAGTTTCTGTGATTTTATGTACAGTTTTCTGTAGGATCTGGTGGTGATTCCGAAGTCCAAAGAACCATGTTGGAACTTCTAAATCAATTGGATGGCTTTGAAGCTACCAAAAACATCAAAGTAATTATGGCTACCAACAGAATAGATATTTTGGATCCTGCTTTACTCAGACCAGGAAGAATTGACAGAAAAATTGAATTCCCCCCACCGAATGAAGAAGCAAGATTGGACATCTTAAAGATTCACTCCAGGAAAATGAACCTTACAAGAGGAATAAATCTTAGAAAAATAGCTGAGTTGATGCCAGGTGCTAGTGGAGCTGAAGTTAAGGTAAGCTTTTTTTTCACATAATATTATATTTTTTTGTAAACTGTACACTGGGTAAAAGAATTTTTTAGTTTTTATGTGTATATATTTCTGCTCCAAGGGACACAAATGATTGCCAACCACAGTGTATGACAGTATATAAAAATGTATATGAGAATTTTAAGAATATTAAAACATTTCATCATGATATTGTGCAATATTCTTGTCTTGGCAGTTGTTTTTGGCCTCTAGATATGTTTAGTATTTTAGTTACCATTACTAGCAACCTAATATGCTCCCGAAGAAATTACATATACAGACACAGATTGTCCAAACAAAGACATGGTTCCAATCTGAAACACAATTAGTTGATAAGCCTATGGCTTTGATGGACCCACAATTGGGTTATGATATAGATTTTAGAAAAATTCTGAGTAAAATTTGAATATCATTTAATATAGAATCATTGGATAGTTTTACGATACTGTTTTAATAATAAACAAATTACTTTTAGGGTGTCTGTACGGAAGCTGGTATGTATGCACTAAGAGAACGAAGAGTGCATGTTACTCAAGAAGATTTTGAAATGGCTGTTGCCAAAGTTATGCAGAAAGATTCTGAGAAGAATATGTCCATCAAGAAGTTGTGGAAATAAGTTTTTTGTACTACTTAATATGTGATTATTTTTTAAGAAATAAAATATAGCGAATATATAAATGTATTTTGTTATTCATCCTCTTAGGGTGCCATGACCCTAGGTAATGTCAGCGACGGCCGTGCTTATAATATTCTTCTACTGATCCCGGTGTTGGGCTATATGTAGCAATTGGTCTGCTGTTAAATCTGTCTCTGTCGCAAAAATCTCAACCAGGAGAGATTCTTCTGCCCTATCTCTTTATTTCCTTTAATTTTACCATTGAAAATTAGCCAATTAAACTCATATATTCTAGTTTACATATCTCTGATATTCAATAGAGTTCGTTGCAGAGACAGTCCAAGTTAAATATTAATTTATATGGAATGAGGCCATAATTAATTGATATCCCAATCCTCTCAAATCAGTTCTTATAATACTATCACTATGTTGAGACTAATAATTCAATAGAACTGCGATGGTTTTTATCCCGACTAGAACATTTACAAAAACTTATATCGCACCGTGGGCCCAAGTTTATCTTTCTTTACGAAACTAATTTAACCAAAGCTTACCACCCTTATCTAAAAAACTACAGTAGCTACAACATTTTAAGACCTACACTCTAGCAAGTGACAGCTCGTCTGTCAAAATATAATTCCCTAATTAAATTTGTAACGTATCCATACAAACAATATACCATTATCAAAATAAGAATACTAGTAACCAACGATCAAAAAGACAAATAAGGTGATCATAATTACCTTAAAATAACGACGTTTATTCTTGCACAAAATTGGATCGACGAAACGCTGAAACAGTTTTCCGTTTTTAAACAAAAGACACGTGCATTCAATCACAGTTTTTCTCGCACTGACAGTTGGTCGAATGAGGCTCCCTATTGGTTTACTGTATGCTATTTCACGTTTAGTTTCTTATAGGGTAACCTACCTGTACGTGCCTCGTCTTACCTCGCGACCACGTCATGACCCCTACCTCTAATATTCTCACCCTATAAATCATTTCTTACAAGAGAGATCATTCAAAGTAATTGCCAACGAGAGAACATCTACAATGCTTATCTTAAAAAATGGAGTCCCCAATAGAGTATAGACTCTGTTGTTTCCTCTCCAGTAAAATACTCAATATACATAGATGATCTTGTTTCTTATTTTCATGGTGAAGTTACAAAGAGCACATGCTCTTTACTCCAAAATATTCTTAACAATTTTCATCTGAAAAATCCAATGTTATAAACTTCACTAGAAGACACCACACTCACCCTCCTCTACTTCACCTAACTGGATCTCCTCTTCAAGTGGTTGATAAACACAAACTATTAGAAGTAATATTCGATAAACTATTTACATGGAGATATCAGATACAGACACAAATACTAACTGCGTAGATAGAATCAATATCTTAAAAACTCTAGCTCGTCGTCAATGGGGACTAAGAATTTACAGAACCTTGATCTACTTTTTGTTGGATTACGGAAGCATTCTATACATCTCTGCTTACGACACTCAGTTTAAAAGCCTGAATACAATTCATAACACATCTTTACACATTAGTTTGGCGCCTTTAAATCAAGTCCTTCTGATAGTCTATATATCGAATCTTCAGAACCCCCACTTTTTATAAGATGGCAATGTTTACTTCTGTCTTATCTAGAATTGCTGCTAATCCGAAAAACCCAGTAATTAAACTAATTTAAACTCCCCACTCTGTCCTAGAAAATAAGTCACCCTCGAGCATATTCTCTCTCACGAATTAAAAAAAAAATGCAAAAAGATAAAGTGTTAAGAAGGCTACAAAAGGATTGCGAGGTCATAAAGCACATCAAAACAATCATCATCATCAATGGTGCTACAGCCCTATGAAAGAGCCTCGACCTTCCCAAGTCTATTACGCCAGGCAGTCCTATCCATTGCCAACCGTTGCCAGTTTGCTGCGCCTATCTTTCTACCATCCTCATCTACACCATCCTTCCATCTGAGTTTTGGCCTATCCCTTTTTCTACTTCCCACTGGTTGTGACATAAGGATTCTTCTAGGAGGGTTGTTCTGCTGTGATCTTGCTAGATGTCCTTCCCATCTTAGTCTTCCTATTCTTATAAGAGATACTACGTCTTTACTACCAAATATTTGTTTATATATGTGGTATACCTCGTAGTTGTATCTCCTCCTCCAAACACCATTTTCACAGATGCCACCTAATATTCCTCTCAGGATCCTTCGTTCAAATATAAGCAGAAGGTCTTCGTCTGCCTTGGAGCTAGTCCATGTCTCCAATCCATGTCAACACTGCTGTATAAGGGTTACATCAAAACAAGAAAGCTGGAATATTTAGGCCACATTACCAGAGGTGCGAAATATGAGATATTAAGGCTCATAATGCAAGGTAAAATCAAGGACAAAAGATCCATAGGAAGACGAAGAATTTCCTGGCTGAGAAACCTAAGAGAGTGATATAGTTGAAGCTCAGTAGATCTTTTTAGAACAGCCGCCAATAAGGCACGGATAGCTGTGATGATAGCCAACCTCCGATAGGAGAAGGAACTACAAGAAGAAGCTAAAAGATACAGACTGTTATTACGTCCAGAATTCTGTCGTGGACCAAAAAGCTACCTACTGTCATTACCAGCTTAAAGCGATAAAAAAAAGAAGAAACGCCCAGAAATCTCTGCGTAGATATTTAATGAACTTATACAGACACAGCATTATGAAAATTTTTTATACATATACCTTCAAAGAAGAAAAGGGCGTCGGTTGTGCCGTCAGCATCACAAACACAACAGAAGCATCATATCGAGATGCAGTATATGCATAGCTGAACTGTACGGAATACTTAAGGCATTACACTCACCCATTACTAATGAAAAATCATTAGCAATATGAACCGATTCTCCCTCTGAGATTGATTCAATCAGGAATATATACTCCATACATTCCATTGTACAGTGCATCTACAGAACCTTCCATCAGCAGTCAAAAAATGGTGTTTCAGTAATCATTATCTGGATACCATCCCATGTGGTGTCAATGGAAATGAGAACGCTGATCAAGCAGCAAAACAGGCCTGCTACCTAGAACATCTGGAAAACAACTTTACCGAGATCTAAGGACTAGTATCAAGAACACTGTATTAAGTACTTGGCAAACACACTGGAATGTGCAAATACAAACTAAGCACAATTCAACCAACTGTTACCTCCCTCACCATGTTCCAAATGAGCAGAAAAGACAATATTATTATCAGAAGGTTCAGAATAGACTCATCTTACTCCTGGATATCTTATGTTTTCTGAAAATCGTCCTCGCTGTGAACATTGTGGTGACTCCTTAACAGTCTAGCAGATATTACTAGAATGTGTCGACTATAATAGACCTCTAACAGACTACTACGAAACTTTCAAAATAATTTAGGTGACCTACTCAGTTCTACAAATATGTTTATCTATCTATCTATCTATACAGCCCTTAACATCCATCCTTGGATATAAGCCTCCTCCTCCTTCTTCCATGCCTCTCTATCTTGGGCAATTTGCATCCATTTTGACCCGGCGTGTTTCTTCAGGTCATCTGACCATCGCATTTGTGGCCTTAACCTTTTATGTTTGTGACTCCATGGTCTCCAATGTATAATTGTTTTAGTCCATCTTTCATCTTTCTGCCTTAGGGTGTGTCCGGCGAACTTCCATTTAAGCTTTGCTACTTGGGTTGAGACATCTTTCACTTTTGTTTTATTACGGATCCATTCGTTTCTTTTTTTGTCTGATAGTTTAATGTTCAGCATTTGTCTTTCCATGGATCTTTCTGTCTTTGCTATTTTTTCCATATTTTCCTTTGTAAACGTCCATGTCTGAGAGCCATATGTGAGGACAGGGAGTATACATTGATTGAAGACTCTCGTTTTTAAGTATTGGGGGTATTTTGAATTCTTTAGAATATAAGACAGTTTTCCTAATGATGCCCAGGCCAATCTTATTCTTCTCTTTATTTCTTCGGTCTGATTTTCTTTATTTAATTTAGTGATTTGGCCTAGATATATATACTCTTTTACTTGTTCCATTTTTGTTTGTGCCACTGTAATTATACTACAAATATGTACAGTGCCATAATTCGTTTTCTAAAAGAGATATCTGATGTCTTCTGAAAATCGTCCTCGCAGTGAATATTGTGATGACTCATTAACATTCCAGCACATATTTCTACAACGTGTCCACTACAGACCTCTAACAGACTACTACGAAACTTTCAAAATAACTTAAGTGACCTACTTAGTTCTACAAACATGTAAAGTGTCACAATTTGTTTCCTAAAAGACTGCCATCTTTACTACTTAGTTTAATTATATTAAGATGTAGCTATTGTATCCTAACTTATATAAAAACAAATTGTATATGTATGTAAACATATTGTAACAAATGTGTATCAGTGTCAATGGCCAACAGTAGTCGAGACACTGTAATTAAAAAAAAAAGTCCCACTGATGATGGTCTGATAAAGCCGAAACGGTTTTTATGTATCAACTAATATTTTGGATAATTGTTTACAAAAAAAAGTTTTTATATTTCTCTTGATTTTTTTTAATTATGCTAAAAATCCAATCACTCGGTAATTTATCACTTCGCATTCGCTTCACTGTCACTGTCGAATGGTTAAGTGGATGTCGGTTGAAGCTCTGGTTCGGTGTACAGAAAAATAAAAAAGCCTAACGCAGCAGTTTAAAATTCTAAAATGAATCTGCGGCTGAGATTAGAATATGCTGGTGTCTGATCTGCCTATGGTGGAGCAGTACGGCAAGAGATAAGCGCCTGCGACTCGGTGATACTCCTCCATAGATTCCTAAATACCGATACATATATATATATATATATATATATATATATATATATATATATATATATATATATACAGTAGTACATGGCTATAGGAAAATTATGACTATTCTTATATTTATTTATCACTTTTTATCGTTGTTTGGTATTCGTTCTTTATGTAAAAATGTTCGTTCCGCTCATGTACTTGCAGCTTAAAATAGAAAATTATGGAATCAAATTAATCCAGTTAGGGGGATTAGAGTTTTGAAGCGTGTTTGCTTTTCCGATAATCTGTCAACAATATTACAAGTTCAAGTTGCGAGAAGGTTACATATGATAGAGAGAGTTTGAAAAAAGGCAATCATATTGTTCAATCTAAAACAAAATAACGGAGTTTAAATAAAATGATGGATATAGACAAATTTTCATATATTTTTGGCAGTTTTGCCAGAAGAAGTCAAAGTCAGGAAGCTACTGCAGCCAAAAGACGTTCTATCGAACCGACCAGGATCAAGCTAACGTCTAGTCACTCCAAAAAACAAATGATAACATTTTCAAAGACTAAGGGAGGTTTAGGAATAACGGCAGAAGAAGCCAAAAATAGGTATATATTTTTTTATTTAAACAATAGAACGATTTATTAATTGTATTGTATACTATGCTTGGTTTATATCATTATCAGAGTTAAATATAAAAAAAAGCAACTGTACCAAATACGAGCCTAAATTTTACTTTAAAAGACAAACTATATTACTATTTACTCCACTTTTCTATGTGCATCTCGTCTAGTACAGCTTTGCAAAGAGGTTATCAATAATTAAATATAAAATACTAGAATATTATTGTATTTCTTTTAAAACATTTTGTTTCAAATGTACTTATAGATGTCCAATGTGTAAACAACAATTTGAAGATCCAAGAGTGCTTCCTTGTCTGCATACATTTTGTTTAAAATGTTTAGAACAATTAGAGAAGACAGATGTCGCTGTATGGTGTGATGATGATTCCGAAGGTAGGTAACTAAAATACTTTAAAAAAAATTAAATAATTGTATATTGGTCTCTAAAATTAGCAACATTCTTTTTTTAAAGAGTTATAACTTTTTGAAATACATCCCATAGTCGAATAAGAAGTTATAGAAATAGAAGATTGGCTATCGTCTTGGAAAAATGTAATTCTTGAGACAACTGTGCGAGTCATTTGGATAGAACTGCAAGCGATTCATTCTTTTAGGTTTCTAAACCAAGATATCCTTCTCCTTCCTATACCGCAGTTACTCCGAATCATTTTTGCACACTCAACTGAAACAATTGAATTGTATTGAATTGGACAATCGTTACGTTTGAAATACCCCTGATATATTGTAGTTTCTTGTTTTTAATTGTCAATGCTCTCTTTATACTAGTCCTTGTGAGTCCTAATTAATAGAAACAACACTGGATGAGGTAGTTCAAAAAATCAGTCCATTATTCCATCAATAATGATGTAGATATTGCACCTTTTTCGTTATATAAGGCCCATTTAATAATGCATTACCAAATTCTTTTTATGACGCATCAGCGTCAACAGGGAATCTATCAAAACCAGGTTAAAGCAGTGTTGAAAAATAGGCTGATTCTAACAGACCTACAAGGAGGGGAAGTCGTGGCCGATAAGGGGTATTCACAGGTGTGGGGTGGTTTTTCCCCTCCTGTGGTCACTCCTGGTCGATGATCTGCGCTCGCTCCTTGACACATATGGGTTGAAAGTGCAGGCCTATGTGGATAATGTAATAATTATGGTATTAGCCGGATATCTTCTATCCAGCACACTCCAACAAACATTAAATATCCTTACCAGGTAGTGCGACAGGGAAAAACTCTCTCTCTCAATCCTAGCAAGACCGTAGTAGTCCAGGCTGTGAGGCCGCTCCCGTTGGGAAAATGTTTCTGATTCGGTTTCTTCGCGGATTCCGGTTCAAAAATGTCCCCTTTAAACAAATCTGAAGGGTGCCGGCGAAATTTTTGGGCAGAAATTGTTAAAACAATTTTTTTTAAACAAATTCCAAAAACATTTTTTTTAATCTGGAAAATATTTTTTTAGGTTTTTTGGGTCATTTTAAACAAAAAGGTCTGTTGTCATTTTTCTCTAAAGTTGATAGTTTTCGAGTTATAAGCGATTTAAAGTCTAAAAAACGCGAAAATACGCATTTTTGAGGCTTGAAAACACATATGTAAATTATTATTTTTGAGGTTACCAAGTGTCTAAATTGAAGTTTAAACATTCAACTTCAAGATTGTGAAGAGTAATCGGGCTTATTTTAATTTAGACCGTTGTTTTTTAATTGTTAAATATGCGCGTACACTCGATTTTTCAGCCGCCGCGGCGCGGCGCTCTAGAGTGCGCTTTTATCGTACTTATGCATAGTTTGTTTAAAAAAATTGTTTAAACAATTTCTGCCCAAAAATTTCGCCCGGCACCATTCAGATTTGTTTAAAGGGGACATTTTTGAATCGGAATCCGCGAAGAAACCGAATCAGAAACATTTTCCCAACGGAAGCGGCCTCACATCCTGGACTATAGTAGTCAGTTTCACAAGCAAGAAGACGGAATCTAGGTAACATCTGATGCCCGCTCTGTAGGGATAAACTGTCAAAGAGACAAATGAGATTAAATATCTAGGAGTAGGTATAAATTATAGATGCCACTCTCCTACACCATATTCACCAAGACTGAGAAATCATAACACGAAGTATTTGTAGCATATTCAAGCACTTCGAGCCTTTATATTCTTATTAAAACATTTCCTTTGTATGATTCGTTGTATTCGTTTATTATTTATGTATAATTATTATTAAATTTAATACGGCCAGATAGCTCAGGTGGTAGAGTATCTGACTTCACCTCAGAAGGCCAGCGCAGGCGAAAAATCTCGATATTTTTAAATATCTACAGCCTCAGGTCTGCTCGGACTGAATAAAATGAGTACCTTGGGTAAAACTTGTGATAATAATAGGCGACTAAAACGTAGCATTGTCCCTGTTACCTTCCTTGTATACCGTAGGTCCAAGAGGGAGAACCGGCTACCCTGCTATAATCCCAAAGTCGCAATAACTGCAAAAGGGAAACTTTCCATCAAAATCCCTTGCTTGTCTCCATTACTTTAGCTAGTAACCTTTGGAATTCTCACATGTATTAGTGAACGTGAATATACTTACTGGCGGAATTAAAGTAGAGACTCAGGGTTGGCGACTCTCTAACTATAAATTGGCATTTCTGTGAAAATCCTCGAGTAATGCAAAAAAATTATATGCACCACATGTTTGCTGGACACATCCACTACCAAATCAGTTGCCTTTCTAAATGAAATTACCCCCCTATAAAACAGTGCCTTCATACAGGTTTTTTAGATTTTTTTAATTGGACACTCTGACTTATCTCACACCATTTGCCCTTCCAGATATCTCTACCATGACAAGACGTAGGAAAGAAAAAACCAGATTTTGTGCGTGTTGTGGATTTGTTATTTATCGACATTTTCTGGCTCTCTCTGTCCATCATTAATGCCTGGTTGCACCAACATATCTTAAGCTTAAGTCGTGCCTTAGGTAGGCCTCAGCTCAGACTGATCGACCGACCACGACCAACCGTCCGACGGCGATCAACCAAATTTTTTATTTTTATTTTTAAGAATATAAAGAATATTTTAGAATCGAAAATTATGGTGCAACGTAAGTGAGAGTTAAGGCAGCCCTAGCTATAAGCAGAGCTGGGCTAAGCTGGAGCTTAAGATCTATTGGTGCAACCAGGCATAAGTCTCTATATAACGCTTCCACTGAACCCATAACTTGAAGGTTTATGACAACAATACGAAGAGTTTGTATGTTTCGATAAATCTTACAACTTGGTTGCTTTTTTTCACGTTATTTTAAATATTTATTGGGCGCCATCAAATACATATTTCCTTAAAAAATATATGGTTTCTTATTAGAGTGTTATGTTAATTTTATAAAGCATATATTTGCTGGCTATTAATCATAAAATCCCTTAGATGGAGTATTTTAAAACGAAGCCCCACTAATTAAATCTTATTAGGGTTAAAACAGTTAAGAAGCCATCATTGATTTTAAAGACAGTGTCGTACTTAAAACTTATGATTCTACATATTAAATTATTTATATACGATATTATTACGACATTTATTATTAAAATCTACTATTTTATACGAATTTAAACGACAAGGGTCGCAGTTTCTCTAAGATTACAGTTACCTACGGTATCAAAAAGATTGAGCTTTGGGGGACACGTCTGCATCTGCAATGCAACATACTATTTCTATACCTGGGTGATTGCTATTTATGTTATTTATTTGTTGAAATGAGGTTGAATGCTCGAATAAATGAACTTTGAAAATAAGGCTATTATCGAGCACAAGTTAATTATATCTAGCCCAAGTACTTTCGCTTAAAATAGCATCTTCAGGGGCATTTCGTCAAAATATAAACTATCCGGCAAGCGTAGAATGTGTAAACATTAAAAATAACATAAAATTGTACAAAACACTACACTAAAACGAGGACAAACAGTTTAAAATTACTTAAAGATTCTACGCTACATTCTCTGTCAGTATCTGGAGGGATAACACTAAAACGAGGACAAACAGTTTAAAATGACTTAAAGATTCTACGCTACATTCTCTGTCAGTATCTGGAGGGATAATATTATCCCTCCAGATACTGACAGAGAATGTAGCGTAGAATCTTTAAGTAATTTTAAACTGTTTGTCCTCGTTTTAGTGTAGTGTTTTGTACAATTTTATGTTATTTTTAATGTTTCCACATTCTACGCTTGCCGGATAGTTCACATTTTGACGAAATGCCCCTGAAGATGCTATTTTAAGCGAAAGTACTTGGGCTAGATTTAATTAACTTGTGCTCGATAATAGCCTTATTTTCAAAGTTCATTTATGTTATTAATTTACTATTTTTATGAGTTGTATGTTAATAAAATATATGTTGTTTAATTTTACTTTAGCTCAGAAAACCGATGAAACAGGATCTAGAAAAGCCAGTTCAGCAGGTTCAGGATATGTTAGTGATAGACCCGGCGATTTCAGTCCCGGCAAAGGATTTTATTGTCCCTCTTGTGGAACGGGTATCGATATACCGAAAGCAGGAGTTTCTTGTTTCTTACCAAACTATACTTTGATACATAAGGCTACATTAGCCAATTTGAATTTGGGAATAACTGATAACTTGTGTAATATTTGCGCTTCAGATAAATCGGTAAGTTATGTTTTTTTTGTACAATTTTTCTTATGCCCTTTTGATCTGGGAAACTATACGTTCCCTTAAAAATGTAATCTTTTATCATCGGCGTAGTGTCTTGATTTCAACAAAATGAGAAGAGTGCTGTGTACCAGAGATTTAAAACTAAGGTGCTATGTTTTTTTCGACTTTACTTTATGAAATGGAATCTTGGACCTTGGGCGTAGGAAATTTTGACACTAAGCAGGTAGCGACTAAAATTTAATGGCAATTTTCGACACCAGCCCCAATTCCCGTTTTTATCTTACAGGTATATTCGACACCAAATAAATATAACTGCGACATAAATAAAATACCATAATTAATTAATTTATTTATTTTAATAAAAGTAATGTGCATTTTATTTCTTTATAACTGTAATAATATCTAAATATAATACAACTAGTACCTAATTTTTGTACATTTTACCGTTAATATACTTGTATACATTGATTTATTTGCTATTATAGGAATGATAAGATACAGCTTTTATAAAATCTACCCTACGTATTTGTTGGGATCGTAGTTTATCCATCATTTTCTCCAAAAATGCCAATTTAGCCTTAACAGTAGTATCTTTGATTTTTGCTGGTATATGTAAACTATTTATTTTGACATAAGTGTCTACTTGAAATTCTTTTAACTTTTCAATAAAAATAAAAATAGGAGGTGTGTTGAATAAAAAGAAGAATTAAATCTCGAATGAAAGGATTCACAGGTATTTGTGGTCCTCGCAATAGACGGATTCTGATTAGACCATATGTGTGGTGGAAATAGAGCGCTATCGAAAATGTAATTTTCCAGTAAATAATCTGCATATATATCAAGTGCTGCGTTTATAGGTTTATATGACATTAAATCATAAAGAAAGCATTCTTCAACTTCTGCTGGATTTAAATAAGTTAAACCAAACGTATGCCTTAACCATTTTCCAATTTCTGAATTTGTATCCTTATATTCTTGTACCAAACCCAAAGATTGAATTTTTTTAAACCAGTTTTGGTGTAAGTGAAAACGGCATCCACTAATTTTTGCATTGGGCCACATATACAATGCACAGTGAATTGCTTTTTCAAAGTCCACAAATATTTCAGTTGGCTCTAATGATAATTGAAATGTTTCAAAAATCTTAGACCTTAATAAAGAAAATAAATTTTTGTATGTCATTGACAATTTGTCCCTTAACAAACACTATGCTAAAGGAACATAATGTCCATTTTCCAAGCCATGTATAGTAAATAATTGTAGAAAATATTTGGTACTGTATGAAAATGTACCATCCATATACAAAGTTTTTAATTTACACAACAAACGAATATTTGTCTCGCATGAAAATACAATTACATTTAATTCAGGATGATTTAAAAACAAAAAACTTTCATTGCGACAGGTTTTAGGAGAATAATTACTAACCGCGTTATGGACTTCTGATATGCTTCTTGGTAACGGACCTGGTAACAGTTTACTACGACAGTTGTAAATGTTCTTTCTTATGCTAGCTATGTCAGGAACCGTCAGCAAATTGGCATCACACTCAGTAATAGCAGTTCTTGTAATTTTGGCAGGATTTCCGATATGTCCTCTTGGGCTTTTCTTTTACATGCATTGGTTACCATCTTTATTTCAAGCTTTTTTGGATCGGCTTCATGATTATGTACCAAATCACTTCTTGTGATGGTGAGGTCCTCACAGCCTATTGTAAACACTTTTGCGGAACACTTAGTGTTTGTTTGGATGCCAAAATATCTCGCCGCTTTTTAACACTTTATGTTTCGAGAACGAATGATGCTCCACCACTAATAAATCTCGACCACGGGAACTTTTTATCAAACTCATTTTTTAAATATCCGTATACGTGCACAAGTCAACGTCAAACAAGAAATAAATTACAACTGAAATAATTTAGTCACAAGTACACAAGTGCCACGCCCCCCGCCGTGACAATAAATATTGGGAAAACCCGCTTGTCCTGCTTGGGTGCAAATGTCCATCGCCGCTAATTACCTACCTACCTGCTTTATGCCGCGGTGTCGAAATTTTCTATAATAAAATTTAACCCTTAGATTACCGCAGATACAAAGACAATTTGGTGTCGAAAGTTCACCCGCCGTGGACCTTGAATGCAACATCAATGGAAAAACTGGAATCATTCGAACTGTGGGTGTATAGAAGAATTCTGAAACTATCGTGGACAGAACACGTCACAAACAAAGAGGTTCTGAGAAGGTTGAATAAAGAAATGGAAATTTTAAATACAATTAAAACAAGAAAATTAGAATATCTCGGATATATTACACGTGGGGAGAAATTCACCTTGCTCCAACTGATTATGCAGGGAAAGATTCAAGGAAAGAGAAGTATAGGGAGGCGTAGAATGTGATGGCTGCGAAACCTGAGAAAGTGGTACGGATGTACATCAAATGAACTTTTCAGTGCAGCCGTCTCAAAAGTCCGAATAGCTATGATGATTGCCGACCTCCGCCGCGAAGATGGTACTTGACGAAGAAGAAGAAGAAGTGTCTTAATAATTAATGTTAGTTACCTACTCAAATTATGTAATTTATAGGTCATCTGACCTCATTATGTGGTTAGTTCCAACTACTTTATAGACGTTTTTCACTTATGATGGATCTTATAGGATGGAAAATCTATAAATCCATTTTGGAAAATTTTTTAAACATTTTAGTAATAAAATTTTATAATTTTTACAAAAAGAAGTTTTTACTTATCGAATTCACTAAGAAATGGGTGGTCCAGGTTGTTGGGAGTACAATTGAGAAAGTTTGATGCAATTTTAATTAAATGATTTTTCTTAGGCACTCTTCAGATGTATGATATGCAAACTAAATATGTGCGATATTTGTGAAGAAGTTCATCACAGGCAGAAATCTTCAGCTAATCATGAGATATTAATGCTCGAGGATGCTAAGCAAAAGGAAATATCGACGATGAAAAGACCTATTATGTGTACACGGCACCAAGAAAATGAAATGACCATATTTTGTACATCTTGTTACCAGGTACCTATTTTTTTATAATATTTAAAGTAGGTTTTTGATTCTTTCTCTTCTAATTTATATATTATCACCACTGAGCTTTACGTTATACCATTCTTTTTCGTACATCATTGGTATATAATTAATTATATAACTAGAATACTATAGCTATATCCAACATTAAAACATTTTTGTCAAAGATTCATGGGTTTTAGGTTATTTGTAGAGACTGTGTAAACGATTACCACCTCGATCACATCTGTGAGCCAGTATCGAGAGCCGTCAAAACACATTTTACCAAGTTGCGTCTACTGTCTGATAAAGCGAAAAATGTCGTTGAAGAATCGGCGGTAGCTGCCAGTAAACTTAATGCTGCTTCCAAAAATATCGAAGCAAAGGTCACTGAAGTACAGGAAGATGTTGAAAAATTCATTGACGAATATATTCAATCGGTGGAAAAGCATAAAGTGGGACTTTTGGAACAAATACGGCAGGTATGTGATATTTTAGAGATACGTTTTTGGATGTCCGCGTTTCTAACATCCAAAATTTCGGTTAAATAATTGAATGAATGAATGAATTGAATGAATTTTTCAGTGAATTTCTAGTAATATATATCTCAAATTTAAGTTAAAATCTATAATATCTATAACCGTGCTCAGAAATTTGTTGTGACACTGTATCGATTGCAACATCTTTGCCACTTACTTCAATTTAAACAAAAGTTTGGTAAATAGGTTTTTCTGGTCTTTTAAAAACACTCCGGCCTGTCCACGTCCAAAAGACAAAGTAAGGGACCCAGTTTGTCTCCTTGAGGGGTTCCAAGGTTATTGTGAAAGATATCGGAGCATATATTATTTATTGCAACGTAAAACGGACGATTTGAAACGTATGAAATTATCCATGAATTTACTGGATCTCTAATAGCTACTAACTGCCTCTAGCATTTCGCATAGAAATTCGGTTTTAAAACAGTCGAAAACCTGAGATCAATGAAAGAACACACCGAATGCATATTAAAAAATAGCTTCTTTTACAGTATCATCATCATCATCATCATCATCATCCAGCCTCTATTTATCACGTCCACTGCTGGACATAGGCCTTCCTTAAACTCCTCTATTCCTCACGATTTTGTGCTCTTTGTTGCCAATTTTTAGTGATACGCCTGATGTCGTCGGCCCAACGTGTAGGTGGTCTTCCTCTACTGCGTTTGTCTGCTCTTGGCCTCCAATTTGTAATTTTGCTCGTCCATCGTGAATCGTGCATTCTCGCTACATGGCCTGCCCAGCTTTATTTTAGTTCCGCTATGCGTTCCACAATATCAGTAAGACTCGTCCTTCTTCGCAGATCTTCGTTTCTTATTCGGTCCCTCAACGTCACTCCCAGCATAGACCGTTCCATTCGTCTCTGTGCCACTCTCAGTTTCGAAGCCGTGGTCTTGGTTAAAGTCATAGTTTCCGCCCCATAGGTCATGACCGGTAATACGCATTGGTCAAACACTTTTCTTTTGAGGCTGATTGGTGTGTTGGCCCTAAGTGTGTCTCGCAGTTTTCCAAAGGCTGCCCATGTTAAAGTAATTCGTCTTTGGATCTCACATGTTTGGTTATCCCTGCTGATCCTTATTTCATGACCCAAATACGTATATTTCTCCACCAGTTCTACCACTTTGTCTTGAATAGTCAAATGGTTATTGGGGACCAAATTTGTCATAAACTTAGTTTTGGTCAAGTTCATTCTCAGGCCCACCTTCGAACATGCAAAATCCAATTCGTTTAACATATCTGTAGCTTCTCCTAAATTATCTGTGATAAGGACAATGTCATCTGCGAAACGGAGATGGTTAAGCTTTTCGCCGTCTATCGTTACTCCTCTGTGGTCCCAATTTATCATCTTAAAGGCATATTCTAATGCCGTTATGCATAATTTCGGCGACAATGTATCTCTTTGCCTTATTCCACGATTTATTTTTATTGGTCAGGTTTTATTGTCTATTTTAACAGTCATAGTGGTATTTTTGTAAATATTATAAATAATCTCACTATACCTATGGTCGATCCTGCTGTCATTCATTGCTTCTATAAGGCTGTCTAATTCGATCGTGTCGAACGCTTTATGAAAATCTATGAAAGTGAGAACAAGAGGTTTGATATATTCTATAGATTTTTCAATGAGTGTCTTTACTGTGTGGAGGTGATCATTGGTACCATAATTTGAGCGGAATCCTGCCTGCTCTCTCGGTTGGTAGAAATCTAATTTTTTCTCCAATCTTGATGTCACTACCCTAGTGAAGAGCTTGTATATGTGGTTCAACAGGCTAATAGGTCTATAATTTTCTAGGTCCGTTCTATCTCCTTTTTTATGCAAAAGGATGGTTGTAGCATTGTTCCACTCTTTGGGCACCTCTCTTTGCAGCAAACATAGATTGAATAGTTTCCTTAATTTATTTAATAGCATGTCTCGTCCATTTACGATAGCTTCTATTACGATCCCATCCTCTCCTGGGGCTTTGTTATTTTTCATTTTTCTTAATGCTTGTCGAATCTCATCTAGCTTTATCTCTGGCATTAGTTCGGAACCTTGATTCTTGATCTTCTTTGAAATGGCTGTTTGTATTCCTGTTTTATCTTCTCGTCTACTTCTATATAAGTCCTCGTAAAACTCTTCGACGACCTGTATTAACTCGTCTGTACGTGATATTATTTCATTTTGCTTGTTTCTTAATTTATGAATTTCGCATTTCCCATTCGTTAGCTCTCTACGTAGAACTTTTAGGCTGTTATTTTCCTCTATAGTGCGTTTAATATAATCGGTATTAAATTTCCTTAGATCTCTCCTAATTGCTTTCGAAACAGTTTTGTTCATTTTTCTTAAAGTGTTGCTATCTACATTCTTATCGCTTCTCATTTGTCTTCTTTGATCCAAGAGCGTTTCAGTATATGGACTTATTTTACTATCTGATTTTCTTTTAGGACAGTGCACTCGGTGACTTTCTTGTAAGGCGTTTATGATGCAGTTATTCAAGTCGTTAATATCGTTAGCGGAGGTTTCCTCCAATAGAAGCTTATTATTGATATGTGTCTGATATTGGTTGATATCTAATGGGGGTGTCCAGATACCATGAAATTTATTTTTAATCATTATATTCCTTTCTCTTTTTATATTGATTTGAACTTTCGCTCGTATCATCCTGTGGTCGCTGTTTGTGGTGAACTTGTTGAGTACTGTTACATCTTTAATTATTTGTTTTTGATCACTTATGATGTAGTCGATTTCGTTCCTTGTTCTACCGTTTGGACTTTCCCAAGTCCATCTTCTGTGCATCTTTTTGCGAAAGAAGCTGTTCATGTTGAATAAGTTATTCTGGAGTAGGAATCCTAGTAGCTTTTCTCCTCGATCATTTCTTCCTGGGGAACCGAATTGTCCTAAAGATGTTTCTAGATCTGCTTCTTTTACCCCTATTTTTGCGTTGAAATCGCCACATAAAATTGTGAATTGAGTACGAGAATCATCAAGCGCAGTGGATACATCGTCATAAAACATTTCAATTTCTTCGTCTGTATGGTCTGTTGTTGGAGCGTATACTTGGATAATTTTGAGTTGATACCTACTGTTCAGCTTCAGAACAAGATATGCCACTCTAGATGATATACTTTTGATGTTTATTATCTTGTTCGCGTGATTTTTATGGACAAAGAAACCGATGCCTCCAACTGATGTAGTTTCAGGACCAATCTATGTATGTAAATTTTTCCATTTATTTTCTAGGTTAGGGAAGAAAAACTTCAAAACATAGCAAAAGAAAAGAACACCTTACAGAAAAAGCTACGTGATGCAAGAGACGTTTCATACTTTTTATCCGACCTCTTAACAGAAGGATCCGATGCAGAAATACTGAGTTTTGTTCATTTGGTCATAAATAAAGTGGAGAAATGCGAAAATTTTGAACCTACCACTGAACTAAAGTTATCTGGTTCTCTTCAATTCTTAAAAGAAGAAACTGTTAAGTGTCCCGATAATATTTTTACAATGTATGGTGTCCTCACGACGCAAAGTGTTTCCCCAGAAAATTGTGTGTTAAATACAGCAGGTAATTGTTTATTATCAATATGCTTATCTTCATAGTTATCGTGATATGTGGTCATTATAGGACTTATACTTAATTTTCAGATAATTAGATTTCTTAGAATTCAAATATCAGAATAACAAAAACTATAGAAATGATCTTACCAATAGTCTTCTTACAAACACTATGTTGTATATTTATATAGTTCTAATTTATTTGTCTTTATTCGAATTTATTGTCTATATTCTAATTTATTAAAATTCACGATAACTAATTACTAATTTATTAAATAGCTGTACAAATGTATTTATGTCACGTTTCGTTACAAGTAAACCGCGTTTCCCGATCTTCTTATGACTGACTGCCAAATAAAAAAAATCTTTCTTTATATACACAACTGTTGTCATCTTGAAAATTCGGCGAACTTCTTGAATAATCTCGTATTTTGGTGAAGGCGCTCGACTCGTTTTTCAACTGTTCGAAAAGCCTCGAGACGTGGATTACGCATAAAATTAGGGTCTAAAGGTTTCTGTAAACAACTTCGAATTTACTGGAACAGAAAACAGAATTAGTCATAATATATTGATAGTTATAAACGCCATAATTATCGTAACAACTATAAGAATTGCAAGATATCTTCAGTATGTACTATTCTTAAATTCTCGCCAGTTTTTTTTAAAATGACTGGTCTAACTACTAATCTATCAAATTTGCAGTGCTTCAAAATCTACGAGTAGGAAAAAAAGTGGAGGTATTGTTAGAAACTAGGGACAATGACGATCTGCCTATCGAACGAGGTGGAGAGGGGGTGACAGCTGAAATACGTCACAGAGAAGCAGGAATATCAAAATCTATAGTAGTAAATGTTAAAGATAAACGTAATGGAACTTATATAATTTCGTTTATACCGGATGTTCCTGGAAAACTTGTCTTGAACGTTTGCATAAATAAGCAACCTGTTAAGGTATTTTTTCATGTTTCTTCATTTATTTTTAAATGACTTTTAATGTTTTTATAAACCTTTTTGTGATATTAAAATGTTTTAATAGTAATATACTTTTACGTTTTTAGGGTAGCCCATTTCCTGTAAACGTGCGAACAATTAAGCAACATGTAGGTATTTATCATTGTTGCTCTTTCTGCTCTAGCAGAGGCAATAAAGAGGCAACGTGTGGTTGTCCTGGAACAATGCCAGGAGGGTAAGTAATAAAAAGGTTACGTTACTTTGTGAGATATAGAACATAATCCACCAATGTATATACAGAGTGGCCCAAAAGTCTGGAAACGGCTAATTATCTCGTAAATTTCTAGATATAATTATACAAAATTTGAGATACGCCTATTTTGGGATACGGAGATTCCATATTTGGTATTTGCAATGTTGCCAGATTTTCAGTTTCTCTTACAGTACTAGTAACTTTGGTTTTTCAAATGCATCACCCTGTATATTCAGTCATTATTGGAATCTCCTATTAAATACGAGTTCAACCATATGTAACACTTATGATTTTATGTAGTGTGGAAGGTCTTAAATACATAAAACAGAAGTCTGGCAACGCCTAAATTGTTTCAATACATTTTTTAATACTAACTATTTTCAAATTCATTAAAACGTAACACTTGATAGTTTAGAATATTTTTTAACATAATAGTTACGTTATTAAGTGTTCAAAATGTGCTCCATTTGTGAGTTGACAGCACTCTAATCGATAGTAGAATGCGTCTACCATATTTCTCCATGATTGTCTAGAAATTATTCGAGATTCATTAATAATTCGTTGCCTTAGCTCTGCAAGACTTGCTGGTTAAGTTTTGTAAACTGCATTTTTCAAGTATCTCTAATAAAAATAATCTTTAGGATTGAGATCGGGTGAACGTGGAGGCCATTCAATTCTACCTTGTCTACCAATTTATCGTCCGGGAAATATCTCATCTAAATAACGCCGAACATTTACACCAACTATTTGACGTTAAATTTCTTTCGATAAAAAATGGCCCAATTAAATAAGTACCTACTATAACTGACCATACATTTAATTTTTGTGGTCTTTGAGTATGGTTTTCACGCATTCAGTGTGAATTTCACACGATTTCAGCTATTTAATACGAGTTCAACCATATGTTCACTTGATTTTATGTAGTCTGAAAGATCTTAAATACATAAAACAGTGCAAAATATGTAGATTTTAATGAATTTAAATATTTAAATGGAGAATGCTGTGATTTTGACATTTGTTCACCATTTAAATTATGAACTAAAATTGACAGTTGTTGTGCTTCAAAAAGTTCTGCAATTTAAATTGCTTCTCTAAAATGCCGTTCTCTACACCGTTCTCCTATTCATAAGACGACGGTACAAAAAACTGTAAGGCGATTTGAGGAATCTGGAGAAGTAAAACATAGATACCGATCAGGTTGACCGAAACGAGTTATCAATGACAACAAAACTTCAGATATAAGCAAAGTTTTGTTGAAGATCCACATACATCCCCAGGCAGAGTTGCACAAGTACATGATGTAGGTCATTCTTCAGTCTTACGTTTATTACGTAAAAATAAATTTAAATCATACAAAATTAACTTATTGCAAGAATTAAGTGAAGATTACTTTGGTCGTAGATTAGAGTTTACTGAGGTAATGATGGATAAAATTGAAAATTATTAAAATTTCGTTAACAGAATATGTTTTTCCGATGAAGTTTTACACTGTGTGGAAGTGTAAATCGACAGAATTTAAGGTACTGGTGTGACGTAAATTCATACTGAAGAATGAATGCGTGAAAACCATACTCAAAGACCACAAAAATTAAATGTATGGTCAATATAGTAGTTACTTATCCAATTGGGTTATTTTTTATCGAAAGAAATTTAACGTCAGATAGTTGGTGTAAATGTTCGACGATATTTAGATGAGATATTTCCTGGACGATAAATTGGTAGACAAGGTAGAATTAAATGGCCTCCACGTTCACCCGATTTCAATTCTAAAGATTATTTTTATTAGGGATACTTGAAAAATTAAGTTTACAAAACTTAACCAGCAAGTCTTGCAGAGCTAAGGCAACGAATTATCAATGAATCTCGAATAATTTCTAGACAATCATGGAGAAATGTGGTAGACGCCTTCTACCATCGATTAGGGTGCTGTCAACTCACAAATTGAGCACATTTTGAACACTTAATAACGTAATTACTATGTTAAAAAATGTTCTTAACTATCAATTGTTACGTTTTAATGTATTTGAAAATAGTTAGTATTAAAAAATTTATTGAAACAATTTAGGCGTTGCCAGACTTCGGTTTTATGTATTTATGACCTTCCAGATTACATAAAATCATAAGTGTTAAATATGGTTGAAATCGTATTGAATAGGAGATTCCAATAATGACTGAATATATATAGGGTGATGTATTTGAAAAACCAAAGTTACTAATAATATAAGAAAACGGCAAATCTGGCAACATTGTAAATATTAAATATGGAATCTCCGTATCCAAAAATAGGCGTACCTCAAATTTTGTACAATTATGATTAGCATTTTACGAGATAATTAGCCGTTTCCAGACTTTTGGGCCACTCTGTATATATATATATATATATATATATATATATATATATATATACGGTAATTTTTTTTTTACCTATGTATTGTCATACGTCGTCATGTTACCAATTCTAACGGTAACTTAAACATCATAATTTGTAACCACATATTATAATGTAAAGCAAATGTAAATTTATATCATTTAAAGGGTTTGGACCCATATATTTTGGTGGCTCATAGCATGTGTACCTCGTTTGCACTGATGATTGATTTAATAATCCGAAAACGTTTCGCAATATCTTTGTGATAGCCCGTTTGGGCCCGTATATACCTTTTATACAGGATTTTAAATAAATTTTTTGTGATATATGGTATACAGCCAGCTACAGGAACTTAGTTTCCTAGTGGATTTTTATTTTTTAATGGTTTTAATTGTTACAAAGTTTTGATTTTATAAATTATGTGTTATACTTTTAGCTATAAAGGTTGCGGTCACGGTCATGAAGGCCATCCAGGTAGACGTCATTGGTCCTGTTGTGGGAATATCCTGGAACACTCTGAATGTACAAGAACCAAGCAGCAAAATTGTGAACGCAATTTTAATACAAATTAATATCAGATTGTAACAGTTAATATATAGAGTATTTGTGTTGTATATTAAAACTTTTTTAAACTTATACTCCATGTTTCCATTCTTTATGGTTTCAAGTTAAATGAAGAATGAAAAGAAAATATCAGCAAGTAAGAACATACGCATTGATACTGTACAAAGTACATAAAAGTATTAAAATTATACTAAATTAAGTCAATGTATAATTTGAAAATCTTGAAAGATAACACAGGCCGACATGATTTTTGGTGTTTTGATTTTGAGATGTGTCCTTAGCTAATACGGGTCCGCTGATTCTGAATATGAATTCGGTTCAAGCCTATCACGTTCAAATTTTTCACAAAATTAAAAAAAACCTTGTGAGATATGTAACGGCTAGCTCACCCATTGCACATTGAAATCCCTCAGGGGTGATGTTCGGCATAAACTAATTTAATTGGAGAAATCGGGAATTATTAATAAAATAATTTCTTTAACACATATCTTTATTTATTTGTATTTTAATAAATCAAAATGTAATAACAAATAAATTGAGGTTCTAACAACAGGGAATTAAGCATCTATATACAAAATCGCAAGAAATAAAGAAACTTAGCTCTACTCTATGAGAAATCCTCCTGCTGTTCTCTTCCCAACTCGGACCATACAATGTCTGCAAAAACCATGCCGCTAAGCCGAAACCATGTGGATCCCTCTCCAATCCAAAGCCATGCGGATTTTCAAAATCGAGATGGATTTCTTATTCCAAAAAAAAAACAATTCCATTTTCGTATTCTTCGACCAAAATCCATGTCAACGTAAATTTTCTTATATCATAATCAAGGTGGATTTTCTTGAATAAAAGACAAGGTGGATTCTCTTGAATAAAAACCAAGGTGGATTCTCTCGAATAAAAACCAAGGTGGCTAGAAAAACAAAAACCGCTAAAAAATTCGTCATGGCACGAGTTTTGTCCAACAACAGAAGAATTCTGGCAAGCGGAAAGCTCTTCTCTCTAGAGACCTGTATACTGATCCAGAATTCTCTGATGTTGCCAAAACTCACAAATTAATAATTGTAATTAATAGATAAATTATTAAATGAAAAATGAAAAAGACAAAGTTGTGCGATAAATACGATTTATATTGAATTATTATTATTACAGCAAAGGTAAAAAGAAATTAAAAATTGTAAGCAGTTTTTAAGCACTAGCGTACACAAAATTAGACGAAAAACTAAAAGTGTTCTTGATTAAAGTATGAAAATATGTTGTTGTAAAAAGAGCAAAGTATTAACTTACCCAGACCGTTGGAAGTTTCTGACCACGAGGACTTATTTTTTTAATAATACCTTCTCGTTTGCTGGTTTATTTCAAAAAGAAATTAAATCGGATCGGATTGATAGAAGTAAATTATTTAGGAGTAGGGTTTCTGTTTCTTGTACGATAAAGTAAGCGAAGGTAGGACTACGAGGGGACTTAAGAAATTAATCAGCGGATTTATTTGTAATAGGAAAATATTGAAATAAAATATAGGAATACAAACAAAGGAAACAGAACTTATTATCAATGAAAATCAAATAGAATGAGCAGAAAATAGTGGAAAGTACTTTGAAATTAATAAGAACAAAAATATAACGTTTTAAACGTTACAGATATTATGTGTAGTGTAAACAAACACCTTATTGATGTTTCGTAAATTGCATTAAAATTATTTCTTTAAAATACTTGATAGATCGATAGAAAATATTTTAATACATTATTATGTTAATTTGAAAAAACCATGTGAGATATTATATACTAGCGCAAACAAGTACGTTATTGGTGCTTGTAAAGTTTGGTGATCAGGACAAACCTTGGGCTCCACACAAAGTGTGCTTTCAGTATGTCGAACTACTGAGCAAAAATAGACAAAAGGTGTAACTCTTTACCCTTCGGCATTCCTATGGTATGGAGGAAACCAAAAACCTATGGAGACGACTGCTACTTTTGCTTCTGCAATATTAGGGGTTTTAATTCAAAAAATTAATACAAAATTCCTGTTTTACCTTCTGTTAAACAACATGTATCATAAACCAGGAATCCCTATTCCTCCAACTTTTCTTTACACCATCCAACAGCAATCATCAGATGAAAGTGTAGACGAAAAAACTGATGAAGATGAATTCAATCATGAGATAGACCAACCTCAACAGTTTATCCAAGCTGAACTAAATGAAATAGTAAGAGACTTGGGGCTATCGAAGGATGCTGCACAAATCTTAGGATCACGACTGAAAGATTAAAATTTATTGGCTCAAGGTAACACATTTTCTCTCGAAAGTAAGTCTCGAAATAGTACGATTCCACATCATGACGGTTAATTAATGATTCTTCTAAGAAAAGTCTGAAGAGTGTCTTGTTGCACAATAGTAATACTTGTGCCTCAATTCCTGTTGCTCAATCCGTGCATCTGCAAGAAGCATTTGAGAATCTTGAGCTGTTGCTAAATAAAATAAAGTATAGCGAATATTGTTGGCAACTCTGTGAAGATCTCAAAATAATATACATGCTTTTGGGTCAGCAGTGTGGATTCAAAAAGTATCCATGTTTTTTACGCGAGTGGGACACTCGAGCACGAAATTTACATTTCGTTAAGAAAGAGTGGCTACTCAGGAAAAGACTAGTACCGGGACAAAAAAATGTGCAACGTAATACACTAGTTGACCCAAAATTAGTTCTTTTGCTTCCTCTTCACGAATTGATATAGCAGTTTCTCAAAGCCTTAGATAAACAATGTGACTGCTTAAAATATATGTGCGATAAATTTCCTGCACTTTCCTGAAGCTAAACTGAAAGAAGGAATTTTTGTAGGTACTCAAATTCGAATTTTAAAATCGAACAGATTGTTCCAGAATACTGTGACCCAGGATGAATCTGAAGTATAAAGCTCTTTCGTAGAATTTATAGACGATTTCCTTGGAAACAACAAGTTTCCAATCTATAAAGAAATTGTAGCTAACATGGTCGAAAATTATAAAAAACTGGGATGCAATATGAGCGTGAAACTTCATTTTTTGGATTCCCACGTTGACTATTTTCCCGAGAATCGTAGAACTGTCAGCGAGGAGCTGGAAGAAAGGTTCTATCAAGATATAAAGAAGATGAAGAGACGTTACCAAGGAAGATGAGATATAAGAATGATGGCTGATTACTGCTGGACCTTAAAGAGAGGATCGATCAGATAAATCCATAAAAAGAAGACCACAAACTGCAGTTTTCATGGAAAAAGAAAACAGTTTTATTAAAAAAAAAACCAATTATTGTCTAATGTAGGTTATACTGAATTCTTTTTTTAAGAACAACTTAATTTTGCAGTGTAATTTTATATTAAATAAGGTTTCAATATTTTCTCAGTATTGTTGACAGTTTCTATGAAAAGTTTCAAACTCACTTTTTATAAAAACCTGGCGTGCTGGAAAAAAACTAAGTACAGATTCGTGATCAGCACATCCCATTTACTATAGGACACTTACTCAACTTAAAACATTTTTTCATGAAAATAAAAATGTAGGCCTGTGTAATTGAAAATAATTCACACTATAAGTACAGGCTCAAAAAACTAAAAGAAAAAACGTTCACAAGATGGTGAATCTCCTGGTGGTACTCCTGGTGATGATTTATCATTGAAATTAATGATAAATCAATATTTAATTTATTATTAACCTGTATTGGAATCAAAAAGCACGAGTGAGGCTGAACATTTCAATGAACATAGAGGAATTTGAAATTTTAAGAGAGGTGCGACAGGGACTTTATTTTGTTTCCTGTGCTGTTCAACCTCTATGTAGAGAATGCTTCTGCAAAGGCACTTAAGAAGATATAATTGTGGTATTATGGTCAACAGGTACAGGATAAATATCATTCGTTACGCAGACAACATGGTGACAATCACAGACAACGAACAGGATATGAGTTGATGCTAAATAAAATAAATATCGTAGGAAAAACATATAGCTTGAAGATAAATACTGAAAAATCTAAATACATAAAAAAGGCACTCTTAAAATTACAACTGCAAGTAGATAATGCTCCAATCGAGCAAGGAAAAAGTTTAAATACTCGGGAATGAAGGTGAATGACCAATGGGATCCTCAACAGGAAATAAAATGCCGTACCGAACAAGCAAACTTTTATTAAATTTAAGCCGCTATTACGTAATCGCAATATTATGTAATCGCAATCTTTTCTTCAATCTCCGCTACAGGATAATTAAATTCTATGTGTGGTCCATATTAAAATTCTAGTCCATCCTAAAACACCAGATTTCCAAATCTTCTGAAGTTATCTATGTTTTAGCAATAACTTGGTCTATTAACTACTACCATAAAAGCATTGTCTACTTATCCGTACTTTTATTCTCCTGCATACCACAATGTATAATATTATCTATTAGATGAAAAGATTGATAATCTTAATCGTCAATTCTTACAATCTTAATAGGTAGTTTTTAATAAAGTCGTAGGCTACCGGTTTTGAGACTTTAAATATACGCAACATTATCAGGTCACAGTACAAAAGTCTTAGTTTTATAAAAACTAAAAGATATCAGACACAGGAAAGCTCTCCTAAAATGTATAATACTGTAGTTCACCACTACCCATGAGTGAGAGTTATTGATATGCGGGGAAATCTTAATATTCAAAGATTAGTTTGAGTTTATGAAGGCATATCAACGAATGAATTTATCATTATAAGCCACCTGATGGAAGAGTATAGCCATAAAGAAACAAATGTTCATATTGCATTAATTGAACTTGAGAAAGTACTAAAACTAGTTTTAGGACGGAAGTAGAAGAGACCCCAGGCATGAAACCCAACGTAAGATAAGAGGAAAAATTTCAACCGTAAAGAATTGGAATTGTTGGAAGAAAATGAAGACAGCTTTGGGCTACATATAAAGGTTAAAGACATGTCGAGTGTTTGTAACACCATAACGCTAACCTGAAGAATGACCAAGGAGACTACGTACATACCAAGAAACAACTAGGTAAAATCTGTACAGACTATTGTTCATCCCTCTTTAAGGATAATAAATCGAATGTTTCCC